GGTGACGAGTCGTCGGCTCACCCTGGGGAGGAGGAAGCTGATGAGCCAGCGAACGACCCCACCGATGTGGTCAGGGACTCAGAGAATTCCGGGAAACAACAACTTTTGGATGCGTTGGGAAAACTCTTTACCGTCTCTGAGGATGTCAACGTGTGCTTGTATTGTGGTTGCACCCAACATGGCCACCTTGAATGTGAACATGAGAAGAGGGATGAAGTCAGAAAGGTGCTAAAGGCCGTCCGAGCGTCGCTCGAGGCTGATAGTCCAACATCTGATGACGTCGATATGGAGCCTCCTGAGCACAAGAAGGACGGTTCAGGTGCTACTGATGGGTCGGGGCAAACGGATGAACCTACAAAATCGAGGTTTAGTGAACACCAATGGTACGACAGCATCAGAACTATGTCTGAAGTTGGTGACCTCGATGAGTATGGTAGATTCTGCATAGAAGGACGTGATGTTACAAAGCTAGGACCACAGAACATTGTTGACCTCAACGAAGTGGTCAGAGACGCTATTGTCAGAGGAGGAGGTGACTCTTGGTCAGTGCCAGACTTCATGGCAAGCTACTCTGATAACAACATCAGGAAGCCCTTCTACAAGAGAGTCGAGGGGCCGCAAGATGGTTTCTTGAAAATCATCCCGACTACGGGGGCCCATTTCTTCAACTGCTCTTACTTTGGAGGTGTAGAATATGCGGCCAACTACCGCTTCGAGACTGGCAACCGGCTCAATGCCTACGAGGACAAGGTGAGTTCATCACTAAACAGGATCCTGCGGCACAACGTGGGGAAGGTATCAGAACAACAGAGTCTGTCATGTGATGACGCCGGCTGGGTGCCCATCGAGGAGGTGCTCAAATGTGAGTCCATCTGGAGGCACGAGTACGCACGCTGGCCACATGTATTCCTTGCTCCAAAAGGAAGAGCAAATGATCAGAATGCATGGAATGTCGATGAGGCAAACTACCGCATGACATTGCTCTTCAAGATCATGTTCCGCTGTGCCCGGTATGGACGTCGCGTTCGTGAACAAGTCTTGGCATTTGGTATCAACAAGGACATTGAGCGCACCAGCCTGACGTGCATTGACAACAAAGTCGATGCGGACACGAACATTCCTGATGAAGGTCTACTGCTCTACCCTGTGGCGGTCCGTGCTCCTACGGGGCACAAAGAAGGATCTTCAAGGGACGACGTCTCATTGCTGTCCTCATTACTTTCACATCCAATCGCGCCCAACACCATTTTGTCGTTACCGGTTTGTTTCCACATCACCAAGAAGACCAACCTTCGAAGCATTTGGAGGCAGGGATTGATTCCAGGAGGTCTTGGAGAAGGTCATCGGATGTTCACGTTCTTCAACCCGTATGTGCCATGGGATCACAGATCATGGACCATCACGAAGAGCGTTGATACGCGAAGAGGGGACTACATTTGCTTGTTCGTCCCGACCGAGACCTTGATGGTGGAATATGGCGGTCGACTGACTGACTCGGGACAGATCGTCTCACCAAAGATCGTCCCGTTCTCGGCAATCAAAGGAGGATGGATTCAGGACCCAAAGGACCAAAACAATAAGACATGGCTCCGGTTGTTCGTCCCGTCGGGCTACGACCAGGTAGTCCGGTCTGGAACTATCAAATCAAGAACGGTAGCCACCAAGGAGTCCATCTTGAGGGTTGCAAGTCAGTGCATCGACGCCGAAGATCAACCGTTTGACGAAACCGCCATGGATGCCATGAACATCGTCAACCAATTCAAGAACAACCTCATCGAGCCTGGCGGACAAGAGCAATACCTGGCCCGCATCAAGCTGATTGACTACATAGTCGAACGCAAAAGGGTGCAAACATCAGGTTGCCGCCATTGTCCTCACTGTCTCAATGAGACGCCGACAAAACTAGCAGTGTGTCTAGTTTGCTGGACGGAACTTGAAAGTTGTGGAATCCGTCCCTATCGGCTACAAGCTCCTGAAGACGATGAAGATGAGGCCACGAAGAAAGAGATCGATGAAGAAGTTCGTCGACAAGAAGAATCGTTGTTCAAGGATACGGTCCATCAAGCACAAGAAAACGTATCCGAATCCAACGACTATGGCTTCAATCCTGACGAGGTCGACTACAACGAAGGCGATGATGAGGAAATGGATCAGGAGGAGGAAGCCCAACAGGAAGACGACGAAATCGTTGAAGAAGACGACGATGAAATGGAAGTCGAACCTGAAGATGAACCCTCTTCCAAACTTCCAGCATGGACCAAGAACCTCGAGAGCGGCAGCAAGGGTATGCCAGAAGACGGACTTATCAACAATGATGTCTCCGAGGCCGCGGCTCACTTGTATGACAATGCCGTCATGTCAAAGATCATCACAATGTTCAGGCTCTACTACAAACAGAGAGTCACTCTGACCCCAGAGGAGTACTATGAGATGATGACGGAAACCAAGCGAGTCCGGCTGGACCTGGACGACTTCTGTCCTTATACAGGAGAAGACCAGGATGGCAACCTCAAGCGCCCGACGGAGCTGGAGTTGGATGAACTCTTTCAGGAGAAAGGGAAGAGGAATTCATGGTCAGAAGGAGAGAAGTTATACTCAGGGCGACCAAGAAACATGATGATGCCTGTCATCAAGACTTTAGAGATCTATGAGAAGATGATGGAATTTCTGGTACGCGCCGGGTACACTCCTGAGTCATTAGGCTTTCTCATGCCAATGAACCGAATGCAGGCTGATGCCCAAGGGAAACAGGAGATGCGAGTAACCATCAGCAATTTCCTTCGACGACTGCTCAAAGGAACCTTTCCGGAGCACGAGTCATACACCTTCTTTCGCTCCGGGAGCCACGGCTTCCCCAACTGCATCGAACTCCCAGCTTTCTCGGTATATCTGAGCCTGAGGGAGAAAGAACAGAGAGTAGAACTGCTCTTTGCCGCCCAACAATGTGGCATTCCTTTACCTCAAAAACTTTGTCAGCAAGATGGCTTATGCTATTCAGCTGGCCGAGGCCGAGGCGCAGAGGGGAAAGACCGAGATGAAAACGAAGATGGCTCCAACCCTTGGCGACGAAGTGGTGAGTGAAGTATTCAAAGCGGTTGGACATACTGCAGCTTCCAAGTTTGCTAAACCACCCGCACAACCTTCACAGACACCTGAAGGCACTGGTTCAGCATCATCCTCATCGGCTAGCGCACCAAAGGGCAAGGCTATGCCGAAATCCCATGAACCATCAAAGGCACCGCCTGCAAAGCCTTCATCGCCGAAAGCTGCTCCGAAACGTGCGGCAGGATGGGAGAGAACTCCAACAGCACCTCAATGGAAGAAAGTCCGCCGTGAGCAGTAAACCAATTGCTTCGATCCGTCAAAATGATCACTGGGCTACAAGATGTTTACCGTCTTTATGAACAGATGATCAGGAAAAGACCAACTGAGTGGACACTGAGCGAGGCATTAGACTAATTCGCTTAGGTTCAAGACTTTTTGATATTCCCAATCTGCACGAGATTCTGCATTGTGCACGTGAATTCGTTAGTTAGCATTGTAAATCTTTGGTAGCGAGGCGATCCATTTCTCCCGACGGGTGAGTGGCATGCTTAGCCAACGTAGAAAAGTAGATGTTAGCTAGCAATAATTCGCGTTGTACAGCTTGAGGAAGCGCCGATGCATCGACAGCCAAAGAGTAGGCGAACCCTGAACCATTATTCCCGACGGGTATGTGGGGAAGGGGGAGCCAAATGGCATGTTTTATGTACATAGGCGTAATTCGAGTAGCAGAAGAATCTAATTCAAAGTTCCCACTCTCGTGCCTATGGTTCGAAGATGCCATAGGCATGGGGGGTGCGAAGGGGAACGAGATAACACAGTAGTCACACATGCTGAGCATGTGCACATTCTTGCATGGGACGCCATTTTGGCTCAAGACCCACTGCGAGGCCAAAATAACGCGCTCCGCTGCTGCATGGTTTGACAGCTCTGACTATCAGCACATAGGGAACTACAACCGAAGGATATCCAGAACAAGGATCAATTTGTTCACAATATATATATATATATATACAATTTTCAAAAAGCATAGGAAACATATATTTGTTGACCAAGGGTGATTGATGTTGATGCAAAACATGCATGGAAAACTGCTCGTGAAAACGTTTTCGAAGAAGTTGGGAACCCCCACACATTAGTTGAGTAGTGAGACAACCTTGCGACGGGATACTGGATTTGAGCAGTGGCCAAAATTCGCAAGAATGATTGGTTGCTGGTACCGCAATTCAACTGGGTTTGGCTATCATTAATCGGAAGTGCCGGCATAAAGCCTCAAAACAGCGCAAGAAACCTGTAATTAAACCAAACACGTGGCAGGGCTGTTCTATTAGGTATCTCCGAAGTAAACGCTGAGATGACTCCTAAAGACACAAACAGCTGGTCCAGAACCGTTTGCACAAAGCATAAACGGCAATGGGTCCAGAACTGTTGGCACACATATCGCTAATACAGGTACACATGAAATTCATATGTACATATATTGACACGCATGACATAGATAGATAGATTAGATTAGATTAGATTAGATTAGATTAGATTAGATAGATAGATAGATAAGTAAGATAGATAGATAGATAAGATAAGATAAGATAAGATAAGATAGATAGATAGATAGATAGATAGAGAGATTAGATTAGATTAGGTTAGATTAGATAAGATGCGATAAGATAAGATAGGTAGGTAGCTAGGTAGATAGGTAGATAGGTAGATAGATAGATAGGTAGATAGGTAGATAGGTTTTCTAGGTAGACAGGTAGATAGGTAGATAGGTAGATAGATAGGTAGATAGGTAGATAGGTAGATAGGTAGATAGGTAGATAGGTAGATAGGTAGATAGGTAGATAGGTAGGTAGTAGATAGATAGATAGACATTTTTTTTTCTATGTGTATTATAAGATATTGTAGCCCCCATTGAAACTTGATCGACGAAGTCCCAACAGCGGCGTCGTTTCGCCGAGGAGAAGCCGTTGACCTCCGCTTCTTCTTCGCTGAACGGAGATGTTGCGGCTCGCAGTTCCGGATGGAAACCACCATTGTGCCGGTGACAGGGACCTGCACCATCTGGGGTTCCGGACTCAGTGATGATAAATTGATGATGGATACTGAGCAAATAGCCAATAGCCACAAATTCATCTAGGATTTCTATTTGATTTCATGGAACTAATATGATGACCAATGATATTTAAGTTTGTTTCCTAAAACATCAGACAGACACACACACACACAGAGACCTGATTGATGCCAGATGCCAGTCCGTATTCAACCACACATTTCTGCAGAGAGTACTGCAGGTGACCCCCACATTGACCCTTTTGACAATGGCATCTTTGGTCGACCGAAAGTCGATGCATTAGGAATTTACTCCAGTGGAGACTATTGGCTGGTGAAAAACGACCAGATCAAGATTCAAGCTCGCTATGGCACCACCATTTATACCCCAAGCAACATGTCGGCTCTACTTTCCCTGGCCTTCAGTGGTTCCTGGTTGTGGAATGACACCCTGATTATTGAGCCAGAGGAGGGCGAGATCACGTATGCGGGCTCACCTATCTTGACCACCTTTCCTGCAGAATTTTCCAACCGAATAAGCAGGTTGAGGTATGTCCCTGGTGAAGAACATATTGACGGAGTGTTGAAGAACTATCCGGTCAAGATGATTCAGGCGCTAAACTCACCATCACCTGCTACTATTGAATCCCAGAATTGGGGGCTCATGGAAAATCTGAGGGAACCCTATATATTTGGGGAGAGACCATGGTTTTCTTTTGATTTTCAACTGGATCCATTGATTGAATGGTTTAGTTTGCCAGAAGATTCCCGGAAGAGTGGACACTGGCCACGTTTTTTGAGGCCTTCTTCACCCGAAACGTGCGAGTGACGATCAACCGATGGCCCAAGCACATCGATGCCATCATCCAAATGCCACAGCAATTGGGAGGTCAGGATGGACACTGTGGCAACTTCAACTTTGATATTAGTATCTTGGCCATAAAATGCTGGAATTGGGGATGGTTATGATGGTTTGCTATTTTACTAGTGCTAACAGCTGCGAAGGCCGCTGCTACCAGTAATAAGTTGGACCAATAGATCCATTTTTGTATCATGGAAAAACACACAGAAATGGGCGACCAAACATGAGATAGCAATGATCCATTTTGTTTTGGCTGTGAGTGGCTGGTCAGTTTTGGGACTTTAACAGCTACGTTGTGAAACGAGGTGATGACAGCCTTGAGAAGGTCACCAGCAGAGTTCCACTTCTTCCAGAAGAGTCGCTTTTTCCAAAGGACAGGCCATATTTTTCGGTCCTTGGATTCATACCTGGTTCAGTGCTGTGTCCTGTTGCTGTCATGTACTGTGCACTGTTCCCCATATCCACAATTTCCTGTGCAAAACCACAGTAGCTGTGGGGTCTTGAAATGGACCCACGCCGAAGCTTCAAGAGACGGAAAGATCACTTTGCAACGACACCAATGTTTGGAAAAAGGACAGTGAGTTCAAGGAATGTAGAAGTATACATGTATACATATATAAAAAATATAAATTTTATAGTCATATATATATACACATTATATTATATTATTCGTACATGTCATAATCAAATTCACATCAGTTCATTTTTCTACTCTAGAAGGACAGGTTCGCCTTTACATGATCTAAATGCAGGAGGAATGGGTGGTCTCTACTTCTGCAGCTCCCATGTCTATGTCGAAGCAGGCGCGTTGGCTTTAGGATGAATTCGACTGGAACCATCTCAAGACATTTGCTGTTTTCACAACTTTTTCTGCACATGTCTGTGTAGTATATGTATATATTTACACGCGCACACAGATATATATATATATAGTAGACTATAGGCACAACGTAGAAATTTCAATATACGTATATATATATATACACATCAACATATTAGTACCTCACTTTTGCTTCGCCCAAGGCGAGTGTGGCAGACTGTGATGAGAGCATCAAGCTGAAAGCACTGGCCGCGTGTAGAGAAACCATGGCAGAGGAGGGAGAACCGGATACAGTGAACAAAGCAATGGTGCGCCATGCATGTGTGCTGCTCAGCTATTTTTGGAGACCCCATAATATGATGATGATATGATGATAGATATGATTAGATCAGCTGTGATTAGCTTAGATTAGGCTAGAGTGGCTTAGACAAATAGCTGCAATGGTGGGCTGCTGCCAAGTATACAAGTTGGCTGGACCATCCATTTCTTCCCAGGTGACATCCTATTCACTGTACCAACTATTTTCCATTTCCACTGAACCAGGGAAGCTTTGAGCCAGACTTTTTGGGCACCGGATGCCCTACTGACTGGTTGGTGGCTTCAATTATCTTTCATTTTAGCCTTCAAATGGGACCAGGGGATCCAAAACGACTCAGAAATGCTTGAGCTGGCTCAGGCACCACTTGACCAGAGTTTGAAACATTCTGAAACTAGGCTATTCCCATTCAGTTTATGGTGAAGAACCAGAGTTTCCCCACCGATTCCAACCAAGCCAAGGTTCGACTACTGCTTCGGTGGCAAGGACTTTGTAGCCGAGGGTGTCATCGTCGACCATGAAGCTGAAGTGGCCGCGTCCGCGGCGGCCGCGGCAGAAGCCGCGCTGCGGAGAGACGGAGAAATGCAGTGACGATGAAACGCAGCGTTGGCTGTAATTTTTTCTTTGGGCATTTTTAAACGGCAAACCTTAGATTGAAGGATGGGAAAGAAGGAGAAGGTGCAAAACAAATTAATGAAGAATGTCTCAAAAGTGATTTTCAAAGATGCCAGTCAGGAAACTATGGCTTTAAGGGTCCCAAATTTCGAGACACTCCCAGCAATGTGCAGTGTTTGATGAAAGTTTGGCCCAAACCACTACCTGATTGGAGTGAACTTGCTCCTTGAGGTTGCGTAGGCTCTTAAGCACAGCCAATGTGTATGCTTTGTATGCAGGAAATGTAAGGAATACTGACACATGGAAGGACTCCTATGGGAAGGACAGATCCGTATGGGGGCAGCACTAAGCATCGTTAATGGAACGCCTTTGTTAGGCAGAGGCAATTTCCAGAGCACTCTGTCATTTCCTCTGGAGTCATTCCAAGGCTGCATGGATTCGGACAGAAGAAACTGCATGGGCATAAAAAGTGCCCCCTCGTGTCAACAGACACTGCAGTTGAGAAAGTTCTCGAATGTGCGGGCATAGATGCAATTCGGAACGTGCGCTTTGTCGCTTTGTTTGCCCTGAAGACCCACATGTTTTGGTCATGGGCTCATATGGCTGACACTGTGAACCAATTCATGGCTCCACTGCACGCCGCTGGCCGCCAGCTTGCTGGGAGTAGACCAGGGTGTCCAACCGGCCCCAACAACTGGACCACGGACACAAGGCTAAGGCGTTCGGCATAGCTTGAGATGTTCTGAAAAAGATGGAGCGGCTTGTTCCCCTTGGTATCTGGCTACAGGATTTCTGAAAATTGGGGAGTACCAGGCTCTTGGATGATAGCTGAGTTTTTTCCATAAAATGGAACTCTTCGACATGGTAGGTGCTTGTGACTACTTGGCATCTTTGAGTGCAAAGTGCTGCTGATGATGAGCTGATGAGCAGCTGATGGCTTCTCAAGTGAACATACGTTGGAAAGGTGAGGGCGCCAAATGGATGACGATAGATGTAGACGTGGAATCGCGCACTTTTTCTGGGCATGCAACATGGATACACGCTTAAGACACACATTTTCCACATCAACTATTCACTTAGCTTGGACCTGGTGTATTTGCGATTTGACGTGGACAAATTATGCTACTCAATGATGCTCTCTATAGCCACTAAAACATGAAAACGGGCACAGACACGAGGGAACATTCTTGTAAAGCTTCGTCCGTGGGAGTCTCATGACTGCGGAAAGCGAGAATGGTCTCAAAACCTCTTCACTATGTCTCTTTGGCAGCTTCTTGTCTGAGAATTTAGGGGAAACACCTTTCAATCCGCTCGTTTATCGTCATTTTCACGATTGACATGGCTATTGGGGGGTACCCCAGAGGCCCAGACCCTTAAATCAGTGGCCCTCCTTTCACACGGGCAGAAACTGAGATGTTTCAGACCTTTCCAGCCATTCTTGGGTGAGATCTGAAATCTTTGGTGATTAATTATAGATTATATACAAACCAAACATTTTGAAACATCTGAACACATATTTCTCACCATCTTATAAACAATAGGAACATATATCCAATGGGATTGATGGAGCCACAGCCGGGATCAGGTTTTGGATTGGGCGACAACAGCCGAATCCTTGGAGTTGTTGTTCTCTGGCCCTGGAGTGTCTGCCACCTACAGCTCCTTGGAATGGTAGCCATGGCACCGGGAATGGGTTACGATTGAGGTGCGAATGGACACCAACTTGATATCTTTTGATCATTTTGGATGGTTCCTACCATCAACTATTTTAGGGATCATTTTGACGGATACTCAGATACTCAGTTACTCAGTGTCCTTTCTCGCGAATCAGACCAGCTTGGCTGCCCAGGAAACATTTGGCCTGGATGGTACAACGCAACTTGTCGAGATTGCCACATGAGAACGAGTTGCGGACCGTCAAAGCAGTGACCAGTTCACCCCATTTCATCCGGCAATAATGATTGTTTGTTTGGATTTCTGGGCCAATGAATATCAAACATAGGAAGGAATCATCACTTGCATATAAATTTGGCAGATCAAAAAAATATTGGGGGATCAGTATGAATATATTATACATGAGTATACAATGTTTGTAACATTTGATTTTTATAGATTCACATTCTGGGGATCACTGTCTATTAATGTTGCCAACTTCCCTTCACCAATCAGATCCTGCGAAGATTTCAGGACGTAGCCACCGTAGCCACTGTCATGGAACTTGAGGTCGGTGGATATGTCCTGAACGACGCTGGGGTGATGCTTTCCGGATACGACAGTAAACGAGAAGCCTATGACTTAGCTCCCCTCGTGGGCGTCCGTTTCGAGGAGAGGGCTAGGGCTATTGGCGATATTTTTGAAGCTTCGATGATTCGGGATGCCACCTTATTACCCTCTGGTAAACATACAAAAACCTATGGAACATCAACATTTTTTTAATGGGCAAATCAACTATAAATGGCCATTTTCAATAGCTATGTTGAATTACCAGAGAGTATATATATATATATATATCCAGTATAGTTGATTTACCTTTCAAAAATGGTGATTTTCCATGGTTATGTTAGCTTACCAGAGGGTATCTGATCCATTCTTTTCCCTTGATCCAGGACACTGCAGGTGGCTTCCTGGAGTTTGAGTTGCTGGGCGACTTCCGGAACAGGCAAGTTTTTACCGGGGATGGGCCTCTAGTAACATGGCTTGGACATGGAGGAAAACTTGCTCATTTGTAGATAATTCATGACAATTCACCTATTGAAAGTGAGTATGTCCCATTGCTTTGTTAGATTACCTGATTTACCTGGGAGTATTGGCCTTTGGAGGACAAACAGGTTTACCAATTTCTGATGAAAAAACACCGAGCGAGGAACCTAGGACACTTCGGCAACTGCGTGGACAAGGGACTTGTGACCACTTAAATACGTCCCTTCCACGAGCATCATCCAAGTGTGGATGACTTCGGGTCCGAAATTTTGGTGTATTCTGTATAAGTATGGAATGTATGGAGAAGCTGTCAAACAGGCCCAAAATATACCATTATATGCCCAAAGTCCTAGAAATGAAGGGAAGCTCATCTTCGCATAGTAAACTAGCACGGTGTCCTGTTTTCCATTCTTTCGGGGTCCCAAAAAAAGGATCGAACAATCGATCAAATCAAACAGTAGGCTTTATCATCTCAGAATTCTTTTAGAATTCTTTAGATCTATAATTCAGGTATAATACTATCTCATATTTATATAGTCTATTTGATATCCTCAGATATCCTTTAAACAGGAGACCAGTGACGACTCACCGTGACGCCAGGAGCTTGCTGAGCATTGTCACCCACTGCATGGGCTCGGACCGGGAAAATGACGGTCACCTGGCGGCCGACCCCTTGCGATGAAGTCGAAGGGGTACAGCAAGGGATACAGCAATAGTTATAAGATGTGGAAAATCATCATTTTTAACATAGGATATTTCTAGGTAAATAATGGTAAATAGAAGTCACCCATAAATTTTCAATTTTTCCTAATGGCAAAATGGATCATCACCAGGTCGTGGTCATCAGGGTTGCAAGCACCAACCAGTGGTATACCAGTGGTACTCCATGAAACAACGGAGCTAGGATAAACACACTCAGCACAAAAAAAACTGATTCAATTCCGATTTTATTTGGTTCAACATGGTTTAAACCATCATGATACTTGATGAAATATCCAAGTCTAGCAGTTTTCATGAGTTACATCCTCAATATTTCTTAAATTCACATACTCCAGGCATTTGAATCCACTTAATGTCCACAGTCTTCCAAGGTTCTATAGCTTGGCAGATGGGTCACTGCGCTGCTGGAAGATTGACCAGCACCTTTGGCATCCCCCGGCCTGCGCAGCATCTGTTGATAGGCGCTGTTGGACTTGGGAGATGATGTGTTGGTGCTGATGATGACAATTATATTAAGGGCTGCCGCCCCTGCCGCCGACCCCGGAAAAATTGGACCTCGATTTTTTGATCCTCCACCTTGTTTCTTTGACCCCCCACCTTGCCTTTTCGAGGCGCTTGAAGAAAAAACACCTCCCGGCACCAAACCAGCAAGGCACGGAAGAACGAACAGGCTACAGAATCGCACCGAAATACTTTCGAACGTGACTTCTGGAATCCTACTATAGAATTGAAGACTTGAGGGAACTGTTAGAAGGCAGCTGCCGTTGCCGCAGCTGCTGCTGCTGGACTTGCTGCTGCCGTTGCTCCTGCTGCTGCTGCTGGCGCTGCTGCTGCCGCTGCTACTGCTGACAGAAGTATACCAAAAGCACCTCCCGGCACCAAAACAGCAGGGCACGGAAGGACGAACAGGCCACAGAATCGCACCGAGAAACTCTCTAACGTGACTTCTGGAATCCTACTAGAACTGAAGACCTGAGGGAACTGATGAAGGATACTAGACGGCTGCTGCCGTTGCTGCTGCTGCTGCTGGTGCTACCGCTGACAGAAGTGTATCAAAAGCACCTCCTGGCACCAAAACAGCAAGGCACGGAAGGACGAACAGGCTACAGAATCGCACCGAAAAACTCTCTAACGTGACATCTGGAATCCTACTAGAACTGAAGACCTGAGGGAACTGATGGATACTAGGCTGCTGCCGTTGCCGCTGCTGCTGCTGCTGGACTTGCTGCTGCCGATGCTCCTGCTGCTGCTGCTGGCGCTGCTGCTGCCGCTGCTACTGCTGACAGAAGTATACCAAAAGCACCTCCCGGCACCAAAACAGCAGGGCACAGAAGGACGAACAGGCCACAGAATCGCACCGAAAAACTCTCTAACGTGACTTCTGGAATCCTACTAGAACTGAAGACCTGAGGGAACTGATGAAGGAGACTAGAAGGCTGCTGCCGTTGCCGCTGCTACTGCTGCTGCTGCTGGACGTGCTACTGCCGCTGCTACTGCCACTGCCGCTGCTCTTACTGCTGCTGCTGCTGACAGAAATGTACCAAAAGCACCTCCCGGCACCAAAACAGCAGGGCACGGAAGGACGAACAGGCCACAGAATCGCACCGAAAAACTCTCTAACGTGACTTCTGGAATCCTACTAGAACTGAAGACCTGAGGGAACTGATGAAGGATACTAGACGGCTGCTGCCGTTGCTGCTACTGCTGCTGCTGCTGGTGCTGCCGCTAACAGAAGTGTACCAAAAGCACCTTCCGGCACCAAAACAGCAAGGCACGGAAGGACGACCAGGCCACAGAATTGCACCCAAAAACACCTAATTTCGTACCGGAAATGACGCCGAATCGCATTAAAAAAGTCTCTAACGTCCCTTCTGAAATCCTAACTTCTGGAATCCTACTAGAACTGAAGACCTGAGGGAACTGATGAAGGAGACTAGAAGGCTGCTGCCGTTGCCGCTGCTACTGCTGCTGCTGCTGGACTTGCAGCTGCCGCTGCTACTGCCACTGCTGCTGCTCTTACTGCTGCTGCTGCTGCTGTTCTTACTGCTGCTGCTGACAGAAATATACCAAAAGCTGCTGCTGCTGCTGACAGAAGTGTATCAAAAGCACCTCCCGGCACCAAAACAGCAAGGCACGGAAGGACGAACAGGCTACAGAATCGCACCGAAAAACTCTCTAACGTGACTTCTGGAATCCTACTAGAACTGAAGACATGAGGGAACTGATGGATACTAGGCTGCTGCCGTTGCCGCTACTGCTGCTGCTGGACGTGCTGCTGCCGTTGCTCCTGCTGCTGCTGCTGCTGCTGCTGCTGCTGCTGCTGACAGAAGTGTACCAAAAGCACCTCCCGGCACCAAACCAGCAAGGCACGGAAGGACGAACCGGCTACAGAATCGCACCGAAAAACTCTCTAACGTGACTTCTGGAATCCTACTAGAACTGAAGACCTGAGGGAACTGATGAAGGACTGATGAAGGATACTAGAAGGCTGCTGCTGCTGCTGGACTTGCTGCTGCCGATGCTCCTGCTGCTGCTGCTGCACTGCTGCTGCTGCCTGCTACTGCTGACAGAAGTGTACCAAAAGCACCTCCCGGCACCAAAACAGCAGGGCACGGAAGGACGAACAGGCCACAGAATCGCACCGAAAAACTCTCTAACGTGACTTCTGGAATCCTACTAGAACTGAAGACCTGAGGGAACTGATGAAGGAGACTAGAAGGCTGCTGCCGTTGCCGCTGCTACTGCTGCTGCTGCTGGACTTGCTACTGCCGCTGCTACTGCCACTGCCGCTGCTCTTACTGCTGCTGCTGCTGACAGAAGTGTACCAAAAGCACCTCCCGGCACCAAAACAGCAGGGCACGGAAGGACGAACAGGCTACAGAATCGCACCGAAAAACTCTCTAACGTGACTTCTGGAATCCTACTAGAACTGAAGACCTGAGGGAACTGATGAAGGATACTAGACGGCTGCTGCCGTTGCTGCTGCTGCTGCTGGTGCTGCCGCTGACAAAAGTGTACCAAAAGCACCTCCCGGCACCAAAACAGCAGGGCACGGAAAGACGAACAGGCCACAGAATCGCACCGAAAAACTCTCTAACTTGACTTCTGGAATCCTACTAGAACTGAAGACCTGAGGGAACTGATGGATACTAGGCTGCTGCCGTTACCGCTGCTGCTGCTGCTGGACTTGCTGCTGCCGTTGCTCCTGCTGCTACTGCCACTGCCGCTGCTCTTACTGCTGCTGCTGCTGACAGAAGTGTACCAAAAGCACCTCCCGGCACCAAAACAGCAGGGCACGGAAGGACGAACAGGCCACAGAATCGCACCGAAAAACTCTCTAACGTGACTTCTGGAATCCGACTAGAACTGAAGACCTGAGGGAACTGATGAAGGATACTAGACGGCTGCTGCCGTTGCTGCTGCTGCTGCTGGTGCTGCCGCTGACAGAAGTGTATCAAAAGCCCCTCCCGGCACCAAAACAGCAAGGCACGGAAGGACGAACAGGCTACAGAATCGCACCGAAAAACTCTCTAACGTGACATCTGGAATCCTACTAGAACTGAAGACCTGAGGGAACTGATGGATACTAGGCTGCTGCCGTTGCCGCTGCTGCTGCTGCTGGACTTGCTGCTGCCGATGCTCCTGCTGCTGCTGCTGGCGCTGCTGCTGCCGCTGCTACTGCTGACAGAAGTATACCAAAAGCACCTCCCGGCACCAAAACAGCAGGGCACGGAAGGACGAACAGGCCACAGAATCGCACCGAAAAACTCTCTAACGTGACTTCTGGAATCCGACTAGAACTGAAGACCTGAGGGAACTGATGAAGGATACTAGACGGCTGCTGCCGTTGCTGCTGCTGCTGCTGGTGCTGCCGCTGACAGAAGTGTATCAAAAGCACCTCCCGGCACCAAAACAGCAAGGCACGGAAGGACGAACAGGCTACAGAATCGCACCGAAAAACTCTCTAACGTGACTTCTGGAATCCTACTAGAACTGAAGACCTGAGGGAACTGATGAAGGATACTAGACGGCTGCTGCCGTTGCTGCTACTGCTGCTGCTGCTGGTGCTGCCGCTAACAGAAGTGTACCAAAAGCACCTCCCGGCACCAAAACAGCAAGGCACGGAAGGACGACCAGGCCACAGAATCGCACCCAAAAACACCTAATTTCGTACCGGAAATGACGCCGAATCGCATTAAAAAAGTCCCTAACGTCGCTTCTGAAATCCTAACTTCTGGAATCCTACTAGAACTGAAGACCTGAGGGAACTGATGAAGGAGACTAGAAGGCTGCTGCCGTTGCCGCTGCTACTGCTGCTGCTGCTGGACTTGCAGCTGCCGCTGCTACTGCCACTGCCGCTGCTCTTACTGCTGCTGCTGCTGTTCTTACTGCTGCTGCTGACAGAAATATACCAAAAGCTGCTGCTGCTGCTGACAGAAGTGTATCAAAAGCACCTCCCGGCACCAAAACAGCAGGGCACGGAAAGACGAACAGGCTACAGAATCGCACCGAAAAACTCTCTAACGTGACTTCTGGAATCCTACTAGAACTGAAGACATGAGGGAACTGATGGATACTAGGCTGCTGCCGTTGCCGCTACTGCTGCTGCTGGACGTGCTGCTGCCGTTGCTCCTGCTGCTGCTGCTGCTGTTGCTGCTGCTGCTGCTGCTGCTGACAGAAGTGTACCAAAAGCACCTCCCGGCACCAAACCAGCAAGGCACGGAAGGACGAACCGGCTACAGAATCGCACCGAAAAACTCTCTAACGTGACTTCTGGAATCCTACTAGAACTGAAGACCTGAGGGAACTGATGAAGGACTGATGAAGGATACTAGAAGGCTGCTGCTGCTGCTGGACTTGCTGCTGCCGATGCTCCTGCTGCTGCTGCTGGCACTGCTGCTGCCGCTGCTACTGCTGACAGAAGTGTACCAAAAGCACCTCCCGGCACCAAAACAGCAGGGCACGGAAGGACGAACAGGCCACAGAATCGCACCGAAAAACTCTCTAACGTGACTTCTGGAATCCTACTAGAACTGAAGACCTGAGGGAACTGATGAAGGAGACTAGAAGGCTGCTGCCGTTGCCGCTGCTACTGCTGCTGCTGCTGGACTTGCTACTGCCGCTGCTACTGCCACTGCCGCTGCTCTTACTGCTGCTGCTGCTGACAGAAGTGTACCAAAAGCACCTCCCGGCACCAAAACAGCAGGGCACGGAAGGACGAACAGGCTACAGAATCGCACCGAAAAACTCTCTAACGTGACTTCTGGAATCCTACTAGAACTGAAGACCTGAGGGAACTGATGAAGGATACTAGACGGCTGCTGCCGTTGCTGCTGCTGCTGCTGGTGCTGCCGCTGACAAAAGTGTACCAAAAGCACCTCCCGGCACCAAAACAGCAGGGCACGGAAAGACGAACAGGCCACAGAATCGCACCGAAAAACTCTCTAACGTGACTTCTGGAATCCTACTAGAACTGAAGACCTGAGGGAACTGATGGATACTAGGCTGCTGCCGTTACCGCTGCTGCTGCTGCTGGACTTGCTGCTGCCGTTGCTCCTGCTGCTACTGCCACTGCCGCTGCTCTTACTGCTGCTGCTGCTGACAGAAGTGTACCAAAAGCACCTCCCGGCACCAAAACAGCAGGGCACGGAAGGACGAACAGGCCACAGAATCGCACCGAAAAACTCTCTAACGTGACTTCTGGAATCCGACTAGAACTGAAGACCTGAGGGAACTGATGAAGGATACTAGACGGCTGCTGCCGTTGCTGCTGCTGCTGGTGCTGCCGCTGACAGAAGTGTATCAAAAGCACCTCCCGGCACCAAAACAGCAAGGCACGGAAGGACGAACAGGCTACAGAATCGCACCGAAAAACTCTCTAACGTGACATCTGGAATCCTACTAGAACTGAAGACCTGAGGGAACTGATGGATACTAGGCTGCTGCCACCAAAAAGCACCTCCCGGCACCAAAACAGCAGGGCACGGAAGGACGAACAGGCTACAGAATCGCACCGAAAAACTCTCTAACGTGACTTCTGGAATCCTACTAGAACTGAAGACCTGAGGGAACTAACTGATGAAGGACACTAGAAAGCTGCTGCCGTTGCCACTGCCGCTGCTGCTGGACTTTCTGGAATCCGACTAGAACTGAAGACTTGAGGGAACTGATGAAGGAGACTAGAAGGCTGCTGCCGTTGCCGCTGCTGCTGTTGCTGCTGCTGGACTTGCTACTGCCGCTGCTACTGCCACTGCCGCTGCTCTTACTGCTGCTGCTGCTGACAGAAGTGTACCAAAAGCACCTCCCGGCACCAAAACAGCAGGGCACGGAAGGACGAACGGGCCACAGGATCGCACCAAAAAACTCTCTAACGTGACTTCTGGAATCCTACTAGAACTGAAGTGAAGACTTGAGGGAACTGATGAAGGATACTAGAAGGCTGCTGCCGTTGCCGCTGCTGCGGACTTGCTGCTGCCGCTGCTACTGCCATTGCCGCTGACTTCTGGAATCCTACTAGAACTGAAGACATGAGGGAACTGAAGCATACTAGAAGGCTGCTGCCGTTGCCGAGCTCGACTCATGGACACCACTCGAAACGCTGAAACGCCACCTAATTTCATGCCAAAAACGCTCCAAAAGGGACCGGGAAAAGTGCCTAACGTTGCTTCTAAAACCCTAGAAAAAAAGATCTTTTGCCTGCCCTCAAAGCCTAGAAAAAAAGATCTTTTGCCTGCCTTTGTGACAACTGTCTTGTCGCGTCCTGTCGCTTTGACGTCAGCTGCAACAGCTCGACTCATGGACACCACTCGAAACGCTGAAACGCCACCTAATTTCGTGCCCAAAACGCTCCAAAAGTGACCGGGAAAAGTACCTAATGTTGTTTCTGAAACCCTAGAAAAAATCACCTCCCGGGGGAAAACACCCTGCCTCTGAAGGACGAGCTAGGTCCAAAACCACGCCAAAAAACTGCCTAACGTGTCGTCTGAAATCCTAGAAAAACAACATTTTTCGACAGCTTCTGTTGCCTGCGGCTGCTGCAGCTAAACAGCTTCGAACAACTCACCTCCCGGGGGAAAACCCCATGCTTCTGAAGGACGAGCTAGTTCCAAAACCACGCCAAAAAACTGCCTAACGTGTCGTCTGAAATTCTAGAAAAACAACATTTTTCGACAGCTTCTGTTGCCTGCGGGTGCGGCAGTAAAACAGCTTCGAAAAAATCACCTCCTTCCGGGCGGAAAACACCATGCCTCTGAAGGTGTTGTTGTTGTTGTTGTTGTTGTTGTTGTTGTTGTTGTTGTTGTTGTTGTTGTTGTTGTTGTTGTTGTTGTTGTTGGTGTTGGTGTTGGTGTTGGTGTATGGACACCACTCGAAACGCTGAAACGCCACCTAATTTCGTGCCCAAAACGCTCCTAAAGTGACCGGGAAAAGTACCTAATGTTGTTTCTGAAACCCTAGAAAAAATCACCTCCCGGGGGAAAACACCCTGCCTCTGAAGGACGAGCTAGGTCCAAAACCACGCCAAAAAACTGCCTAACGTGTCGTCTGAAATCCTAGAAAAACAACATTTTTCGACAGCTTCTGTTGCCTGCGGCTGCTTTTGCCTGCGCCTGCTGCAGCTAAACAGCTTCGAACAACTCACCTCCCGGGGGAAAACCCCATGCTTCTGAAGGACGAGCTAGTTCCAAAACCACGCCAAAAAACTGCCTAACGTGTCGTCTGAAATTCTAGAAAAACAACATTTTTCGACAGCTTCTGTTGCCTGCGGGTGCGGCAGTAAAACAGCTTCGAAAAAATCACCTCCTCCCGGGCGGAAAACACCATGCCTCTGAAGGTGTTGTTGTTGTTGTTGTTGTTGTTCTTGTTGTTGTTGTTGTTGTTGTTGTTGTTGTTGTTGTTGTTGTTGGTGTTGGTGTTGGTGTTGGTGTTGGTGTATGGACACCACTCGAAACGCTGAAACGCCAACTCACCTCCCGGGGGAAAATCCCATGCTTCTGAAGGACGAGCTAGTTCCAAAACCACGCCAAAAAACTGCCTAACGTGTCGTCTGAAATTCTAGAAAAACAACATTTTTCGACAGCTTCTGTTGCCTGCGGGTGCGGCAGTAAAACAGCTTCGAAAAAATCACCTCCTCCCGGGCGGAAAACACCATGCCTCTGAAGGTGTTGTTGTTGTTGTTGTTGTTGTTGTTCTTGTTGTTGTTGTTGTTGTTGTTATTGTTAGTGTTGGTGTTGGTGTTGGTGTTGTTACAACCTCTCTGCCCTGACGCGCTCCCCCTTGCCGTCGGCCGGGGTCGGCGGATTATATACCAATTTTTGTTATTATGTGTTATTTTTGTTTTTTTGAGATATTATTTGATATTATTTGATATTATTATATGTTATTATACGTTATTATATGTTATTACAGTATATGTTATTAGGATTAATATTTAGATCGTTATTATTATTAATACTATTATTACGGGCAAACCCTTCAGTTTGCCCGCGCCGACGCCGACGACCTGTCCGAACATCAAAAAACACTGTGTTTTGTGGGACAAAATGCACATGTCCATGATCATGGCTTTCATCATGAAACGCACAGCTTAGCTACCTGTGCGTTGACGGTTGCAACAACAACATCATCATCAACATCATCATCATCATCATCAGCATCATCACCATCATCATCATCATCATCATCAAACCCTTATTGAAGATCTTCAATGAATGTAGAAGTTTAACGGAGTGGGAGAACTAAACCCTTTTTGAAGATCTTCAATGAACGTAGAAGTTTAACGGAGTGGGAGAATTAAACCCTTATTGAAGATCTTCAATGAATGTAGAAGTTTAACGGGGGTGGGAGAATTAAACCCTTATTGAAGATCTTCAATGAATGTAGAAGTATAACGGGGGTGGGAGAATTAAACCCTTATTGAAGATCTTCAATGAATGTAGAAGTTTAACGGGGGTGGGAGAATTAAACTCTTGTTGAAGATCTTCAATGAATGTAAAGTTTAACGGGGGTGGGACTTCAATATTCCCTAATACCTTTGTTGATTTTCCCAATTTAATGTAAAGTTTAACGGGGGTGGGAATTTATATTCCTAATACCCTTGTTGATCTTCCCAATTGAATGTAAAGTCTAACGGGGGTCGGAATTTCTATTCCTTCAAAATCCCTAAGAAGTTGTGTGGGCGAACTGGGGGGTTTGCGCGTATTATTACTACTATTTTTACTCTTCTTACTCGTATTACTCTTAGTACTAGTAGTACTAGTAGTACTAGTAGTACTAGTAGTACTAGTACCACCACCACCACTACTCCTGCTATCACTACTACTACTGTTTTTGCTGTTACTACCATCGATACTCTTACTGCTTTATGAAAAGATGTATTCTTATTATTAATGCTATTACTATTGTTGTCGCTACTACAGTACAATATTGCAACCGCCGCAATGGCCAGGCTTTGCTGGGCCCTTTCGGGAAGGACGGAATTGGGTCCGGAACTGAATGGCCTCGCCTTTTTAGGGAGGGTTATTTTTTGGAATAATCCACATGAAAGAAATAGAACATAAAATATATAGATACAATATAATATAATATGATATGATATGATATGATATAATATAATGTAATATGATATGATATGATATGATATGATATAGTATAATATACAGATACATGTTTTTTTTGGGTGATTCTTTTTGTTTTGTTTTCCAATGGCTTTTGTGGCCGTTGTGGCCGTTTTTTGATTTGTTTTTTTTTCCTGAATTTTGTCTTATCGTTTTTTGCCTTCTTGGCTTTTGTTGCTTTTGGGTTCTCGTGGTTTATTGGCAGAATGCTGCAACTATTGTGCCGACAGTACAACAATAATCCGAAATTAGAAAGAATAAACAGACAACAGAAGTGTTAAGAAAGACAAGATCCAATATGAACCAACACAATTAAGAACAGGGCTGCAAACACCAGTAAGATACTTGGACGCCAAAATGCTGCAAATACCGTTCAGAGAGATTCCGCATTCAATATCTTGCCAGATCTTGCCAGCATTGTGCAAACAACAACGAAACATTATATAGTAAGGAAAAATGCCAAGAGAGATGACATCCAACACAGCAAAACAGGGAGAGAGCGATGCCAACAACATAATGTATGCACTTGTTTTCTTTTGGGGGGGGTGCTGTGCACCCTCCCCCAAGCCCCCTTCCTGCTTCACTTTTGCGCTTACCGAAGAAAGTGGCGAAATTGTCTGTTGAACACATTCTCTGTCCCTGTTCGTGCTTTCTGCAGCCTTAAACTAAAAGCTTTCTCAATTTCTCCAAACCTGCAGAAACTCCCAGCAAACTCTAAACCCCTGATTAAACCCCAAACCACGACACACACACACAATAACCCCTAAGTAAACCAAGCCTCGCTTCCGGGCTTTGAATTCTTGTTGGCGATGATCTGATGGGCCCAGGTGCTGTTTCGGCTTCAAGACCATCCAGTGCACAGCGAGTGACTTGGACTGGCCCATAATTTGTTTGAGCGACTTGGAATTGACATGTTTTTTTTTTTGAATGATTAGTATGCTATAAGCCACTGCAAGCCACTGCAAGCCACTGCAAACCACTGTAAGCCACTGTAAGCATTACTTAATTTAATAATCTATTTCTTGGGCACCCAACCTTTTTTGAAACTCATCGCCAATTGGTACAAGTGAGGTTTCATACCCTGTGAGAACTGGGATTAATATTTGTAGCTGTGGCTCTTGAAGATCAGCTCTGCTGGAATTCATGGAACCAGTCAAGCTGAGGTTTCCTCGAAGGGAGGTACCCCCAAATCATCCAAATTAGAACATTTCTAGTATTGAAGTTCCATGGTTTGCGGGATTTCCCATTTTAAGAAACCACCTAATATGGAAGATACACCGATTCTTGAGATGAAAATTGGGTGGAAAGTGGGTCACCTCTAGCTCGGCTGAGGTTTACCTATGCCTTTGGCACCCAAAACAAGACCAATCCAGGCTTTGCCGGCCGTGTGCTACTCGGCCAATTCATGGCTGGTGGTTTCAATAGTTTTTAAATGTTTCTTATTTCCAAAAAATGGGATGAGTTCAATGACTTTCAGAATTTTCCGGGTTGCTCAAGCTGCAACTAGGAATTCAAAAGATACCATTTTGTGGTTGGGGAAGGCAGTAGAGGGTGGTTTGAATTCTTCTGGCCCATTATATTCCTTTCAAGCCCATAAAATGCCCATTATATTCCATAAAACCCCATGATATCCCATTGATCATCCATTTTAATAGGATTTTTCCACTATAAATGACTATAAACCATCCATGTTGGGGTATCCACCATTTATGGAAACCCCATATGTTTGAATGGAGAAGATTTTCACCCACCTGACAATGGCCGCCATGATTTCGCACCAAGCTGAAGGTATATTCATGGTGTGCAGCTCGCTGTGCGGGGCTCAGAACTGGATTCCGCAGAGGTTTTGAAGTCTTTTCTTAAGGAGGAACAGGATGAGATGGGATAGAATGGGATTTGATTAGGTTTAATGGAATTTTGTTGGAATTTATTGGAATTTACTGTAATGGAGTTTAATGGGATTTAGATGGGATGTAGATAATACATTTACCCACCGCGTGCTGCACAGCCTTGGAGGTCGAGAGCTTGGGCATGTGGAAATCGGTGTCGCGGCCCTGTGCCATTGATGCTCAGGGCTGTATCACCAGCCACAACTTTCCCAGGTCACAACGATTGCTGGTTGGTTTCTAAGGGAAAAGCACCTATAAATGGGATATGAATAAGATACAGTGGATGGAAGAAATCCTGCACCAGTTGGCAACCGTTAGGTAACCATGAAACACTGTAAATAATGGGATTATAAGGGGATAAACATGGATAAACCATATACCAACTGGTGCAGGATTTCTTCCATCCACAGTATACTGGTGACTCAGGGCTGAGCCATGAAAGTACTGTAGCCTGGTTGATGGGTTACTTAATTTGTTGAGTTAATACGAATTTCTTGGGGATTATGATAAGCCATTGATCGGGGGAACCTATCAAGCAACTAGTATTTCACGAGATGGGATAGGGGTGTATTTTACTGGCTCATTTGATGTTTTTTTTTTTGTTTTTTCACACATGTTTGTTTAGTTTTTAAACATTGCACATGATTTAATGACATTTTTTGATGGTCCGCCTTGCTCATCCCAAACTTTTGGAGGTTCTATGGCTCTCAGGACGGAACGATGTTTGGAGTTGGAAGGGTGTAGGATTTTCGTTTGAGACAAGACCTCTGACAGCGTTGCAAGTTTGATACTGCGTCAATTTTTTGACTGAGTGTAAGGCTCGAAGAGGGAAACAATGATGCTTCATTCGATTTTAATCCGTGATCGAAGATAACATGTTGAATTTGTCTGGCTGCTGAAGATCCCGCAATTCCCCAAATCTCACCGGCAGCATGGTATGAACACAAAAAAATATGCTGCCAGATGTTTCTGTTTTCAGGAGCATTGCAGCTTAGATGCTTAGCAGCAATTAAGCCTTGCCCAGTCCACAGATCCCCGAAGGGAGACAGCGCCCCGAGAAACGTCGCCTTTGGAAATGGATTTCTTCATTTCGAGGTGCCCGGAAACAGAAGGAGTTTCTTCCTATGATTAGAATCAGCATCTTAGATGTGATCATACATCATCATTATCATTATTGTTATTTTCATGATTGTAGGATAACTATTGTAATCGACGTCACCACCACCACCACCACCATCATCATCATCATCAGCAGCATCATCAGCATCAGTATCAGCATCAAGATCACTATCAACATCACAATCAGTGTCAGCATCACAATCACTTGATTACGGTTATGACCTTGCCATTATTAGCATCATCCTTATTATTGGGAGATCGGATTGTCTCTTGGACCAGTCTGATGACTCCACCAACTCCCGATTAAGGAGATCGAAGAGCACATTACTGGCCCCTTGCTGGTCACCGACTTTGAGACGGAGGAGAACCACGATGTTCTCACCGTCAACGGCAAGGCTGGGTCGGCTGGCTTGCTCCATTTTTTTTCTTGCAAGATCTTGCAACAAAAAGGTTGAAGGAATCTGGATTTGTTGAAGGATTTTGGATTTGTTGAATGAATGTGTTTTCAGCTGATCAGACTTTCCTGTGAACGAGTCATGGAAAAAAATAGGGGGTCAACCTTACACCCCAAAAGTAGAGTGGTTTACAATCCCCCCAATTTCTTGCAGACACGTTGATTTTTCCAACGAGTCCCATGTCGACTGTGACGAAAATGTCGAGGCCTATAGTGGCTCCCAGGGTCCACAGGGCATCATTCCGCATGGGCAGATCATTTGGAGGCTTGACCATGGGACCCATGTCCCCTTCTTTTCGATAAACATCGATGATGTTCCGAAAATGAAGATGTCCCCATGGGTAGATGGTTTCGAGATTATGAGAAATATCGATGTCTCAAATTTCCCATGAACTTTCAGAGAATTCCAGATCCATCCCAAATAATTAGATATGTTTTTCTTTGGAACATCCATGGAAAAAGACAAAAATGAAAAAAACACGTCCCCATGTTGCTCCCCATTATTCACTGGTTAATCGGTTAATCTGTCAGGTCAGATCACTCCATCTCCAAGCGTGGTTGGCGGCTCTGCCCTCCTGAGCTACCCGCCTTGCCTCCAGCAACGGTGGCAACCTCGCATCATGTGACCAAGGTGAATGGCGGGCTTTGGGGTGGGGGGCTGGAAGTTAGTTTGTTACGTTTGTTCGCATTTATAGATGTTTATAGTCTATAGATGTTTATAGTCTATAGATGTTTATAGTCTATAGATGTTTATAGTCTATAGATGTTTATAGGATGGTTTTAATTCAACCTTTTTGGTGGGTTGAGGCCTGGCATGAATGGCTTGAACTTGAGTTTTTCAACCAAAACATAGGTAAAAGTATGTGGTTACTCCAGTTTCGGTCGAGGCGTTCCCCTACCAGAAAAACTAGGCCTTTTTGGGTGAATGTGCGGAGTCTTCTGAAGAAACTCCTTGGGATGTGGGAGGGTTGTTTGGAGTGGACAGGCATGGCACAAATTTGGCTTTCAGCCAGGTTCAATCTTGAGTTGAGATGACAGGCGACAAGAGGTAGATTTTCGGCATAAGTCAAGGTTTGCAGACAAATCTCCATCCCAAGGGTTTATATGACCAATACAACAAACAGCTTCGATATCGACGACTGGGCCAGGAGCATCCACCTGATGTTTTGGTGGCGTTGCCCATGTCTTGAGCTTAGGGTGCTGAGCTTGTCTCAGAGCAGCAGGTTGCGTCAAAAGACGCTTGCTTCTCTGTGAGTATCTGCGTATATCATTTGATTCTCCGTATCTGCACATATCATATATATCATATCATTTCTCACGTTTTTTCACCCTTTGCAAAGCGCTTAAAAAAGCCATGATTGACTCCCATGACTCCCATGACCACCGGGTGCCAACTTAGGGTCCTCTTGGCAGCGATCTGCTTGATCTGCTACTGCGCGCCGACTTATCGCAAAGCTTTTCGGAGGCTGGGCACGCTAAAAAGGCTCGACACTATGCTGAGTTTTAATCGGAAACATGATATATATATATATATTATGTATATATTATGTATATATTATGTATATATATATATATATTATGTATATATTATATATTACTATATTTTTAATTCATGTTCTATTTTCTCATTATCATTATTTATCGAAACAAGGGACTATACAGGCAGATCATAGATGTCAATACAGAAAAACAGTTCGCAATTCTTCACACAACTCGCAGATGGTGAATTATCCAAAAGGGGAGACGCCTACGAACTCCTCAGATTTGCCAAGCCTTCTGCTCGGGTTCGAAATGATATAGACCAGGACTGCCAACAGACAGCACCGGAATCTGCATCACTTGATGAGCAAACAAAAGAAGACCCGGAAACCTTGGAAGTTGGAGGGCCAACTTCCAATAGCCATGAGTGGAACCGTAGTGTTTCTACCGTCATGCTGTAGTCTGCCATCATTTTCATTCTGAAATTTGTGACCATTGTTATGACATCAGTACTATCAGTTTGGATTGTGCCATCACATCTGTCCCTGAATTGGTTTTTCACGCAACACTTACAGGTTTCACCATGTTCCACCCCTACATTTTGGGTAGAAAATTCACATCATGGTTTTCTACTTCCAATTTTTGCCTCAACCAATCCATTGAAACTCCAGGACAGCAATGTCTGTGGTGGCTTGGAGGTCTGCGATGAGGAGGTGCTGGGTTAGAAATAGGGATCTGGGTGATATAAGCACAGTACTTGGGTATCCGTATATATATATATATGTATGTGTTTGAAAATGGAATCTATTCCCAATTATTGCTATACAGAAAAACAGACAGGGATCATGATGATTAACCACTGGATTCAGGACACACACACACACACATTTCTTTCAGACAAAGCCATTAATGATTATTTCAAGCACTATAGTTGAAACTGGGGATTTCAATGAAATTGGTTGCCCAAGTGATGGCATGATGGTCCGAGTTATTTCTTGCTCAGGAGGTACCTCCAGTGGAAGAAATCGCCGCTGTGCGGGAAGGTCTTTTGGATAGGCTGCGGCGTCAGTCGTTTTGTTGGGCATGACCAAAGCATCCAAACTGATGTACATTGTAAAATTGTAAGCCATCAGTTGTGGACCATGTGGCTGCTGCTGGCAACCTGGTCTTTATCGCTGTCACAGTTCAAAGATATTGAAAATCATTCCAGAGGGAATGCGGATTGGCTTCCTTTCTGTTGGCGTTAGGTTTTCTTATTTTTTTCCAATTCGAGTCCGTAACACTTCACTTTACCCCGAAGATCAATCTGCCGCAGAAGCGAAGAGCTCATCCCTGATCCGCCAAAGACATGACGTTCCGAATCGGTTGGGACACACCCATGGGGCGATAAAAAGGTGCTTCACCCGTGGGAGTCCCCAAGGAACATAGGGGGTGTGTCTGAAGTTGGGGTACCCCCAAATGGAGGGACAATCCATTGGAAAATCATGATCATCCGTTGGCGCTGGCTGGGGGGTCGAATTGCTGTGTCACACGAGTGGTGCTGTTCGATTTATGCCTTGCTGTTCGTCCATTGCAGACTGGCCAGAAGCTTCAAGGGTATGATTTTCTGCAACAGATGGCATGTGAGATGGCTTTTTAGTGCCCGCTGCAAAGATCATGATGATCATGGCTTTCTGCATTACTCATGCAGGGCGACTTGATGGATCAGAAACTAGCTGAGTTTGATCACAAATTCAGGCTGTTGCCAAATCGCAGAGTTCTCGGTGTCACGGGTGTCACGTTAGAAAATCGTGCAGCAGTTGGCGATGGGAAAAAGCTTGGCTCAAGGCTGGGACGATCGAGAAGCGACCATGTTTTCATGTTTCCAGTTGAAATGACCTTGTTGTTGGCTCAAATGACCAGTCTTGCTGAATATGTTGCATCATCATGATGACATGGCAAGGTATTTTGAATCCCAGATCAGGTGAAAAGAGCCTTGCAACTTCTCAGGTGTCAAGAAGGTGAAGCAAAGCCAACGAGAATTGGAATCAACCATTTTGAGGTGGGAAGGGTGAGCATCGCAGGGAGTAAGTGGTTAGTTAATGTTAGTATCCTGATGAGCAAGCCCAACTCGAATGATCCCCATTTTTATAGAGGTTTGGTGCCAATTTTGGTGCCATTGTACCCCTGGTTCTTGACCATTTACTCATGAACGCCCAAGAGGTCCGGGGTTGAGAGGCAGTGGCAGATTCTGGAGACCACTGAACTTCCAACAAGCGGCCATTTTTTAAAAACCAGCCAATATGGTAATCATATTATGGATTATTATGGTCATAATTCGAGTACAGTTTGTGGTAGTAATGCTACGTGGTAAGAATAAGCATCATCCAGAGCCACATTGTTATGATCATCAGATATAATCAGATATCAGAATGGAGAGTAATGGTTTATAATACTGATAATATACCCTCTGGTAATTTAACATAACTATAGAAAATCACCATGATTAATGGGAAAATCCACTATTTCAATGGCCATTTTCAATAGCAAACTGTTAAATTACCAGAGGGTACTGTAATATACTGTATAATCATGAGGGGAGAGGTAGTAATCTGGCTCTGCCAAACGCCGAGTCCGCCGAGCCTGGCCAGGCGCTGTGCTGCGGGACGAGACCGCTTGGATAAGAGGCCCAGACCAGCGACCCTTTTTTGATGAAGAGATATGAACAGATTCCAATACCAAGAACGGGCTGTTTCATAGTGGAGTGAAGGGATTTTGCCTATGATGATTGAGAGAAGTAGGGGTATATTTGGGATCGTTTGAAGATATTTGAAGCAGATAAGGAGAATTATATAAGAGGGATACGGGATATTAACGGTGGTGTCATGTGGTAATTAATCCCAACAAATCAATCTCAATTGGGCGTGATTTACAATGACCGACCCATAAGCGATGCCCAGTAGGCATGATTTATTGTTGGCTGTACCAAATTAGCAGTGCCCAGTTCACACTTTAAGCCATTCCCAGGGTGGCTGCTGGAGTAAAGATTGTCAAAGTGAAGTCTGGCGAGGACATAAAATCCGCCGCGATTTCAGCGGCTCCTGTCCTGGTGGCAATGATGGGACATCCCCGGTCAAAATGGAAGTTTGAGTGGGAAAACCAGCTACAAATGCTGGATGTTTCAGCAAGCCATGTTTGGTTACCGGAGGGTATTTGGTTTGGTTGGTGGTTTTTTTAATACCAATATATATATATATATATATATATCTATATATTGTGATTGGGATGTAGGACTCAGCTGACACCTGTAGGATGCAGTTGTCACCCCTTTTACAGCTTCGCTACCGCCGCCTGGATGGCTCAAGACGCCACCCGCATCTGAGAAAAGAAGCTCGTCTGCTGCAGCGATATCTCACTGGACGCATTCATAGATTCAACGTAGAGTACACGATCACCCACAAGGTCGAGGTGATTCACAGGTTATCAGCCGTACGCTCATTCTGAGCGTACGGTGGTCCCACACTTTATCTTTGACCCCTTCGGCATCCTGGTCCTCCTGCCCTACTACAAGTCGTGAGCTTGGAGCAAACGGAGGTGGACTGACCACAAGAAGATGTCGCAGAAGAACCAGTCGAGCAGCAACGACACAAGCTTTTCCTTCGGAGCGAATGCTGCTCCGGCCCAGGCGATCAATGACACGCCTGGATCTCAAGAGAGCGGCGGCGGCGGCACGATGTCCTACCGTGCTGCAGGAAGCATAGCATCAACAAGCAGCTTCACAGTGGTCAATCAAGCTGACGTAGTTCGAGGAGGAAGTGCCAGAAGAGCAACATCGGCAAGATCACCTCGCGCTGCAAGATCTCGCATTGCAGAAGACGGCAGTGGCCGAAGCCCGTCGGGCGCGGCCACGCGGGAGGATGAGGCAGGTAAATCTACCACCTCATCCAAACGCAAGCCATCGACCAGCGCTACGAGGAATGAGAGCGAGGCACGTCTTCGACGTCAACTACAACACAATACCGAAAAGCTGGAGAGGAGCGAACGGGCAAGGACTGAACTGGAAAACAGACTAAGTCTCTATCAGGATGTTCTTGCACACCGTGACCAGATGATTAACAATATGGAAATCTATTCGCATCAACACCATGAAGAATATCAAGAACATGTCAACTCCGAGATGGAATTCATGAGAGTTTCCCTCATCGATGCACACCATGTACTTGAAGAGCAGACGATCGCACTGGCTGAGGCGCATCTCCTGGACGAAGGTTCAACAATGAGGATCATCGAGGTGGAGAAGCGTGGTCAACTCGCTGAAGCAGGTGCGGCACACATTGTTCGAGAAAGTATTGAGATGAGGGGAAAGTATCTCACTGAACTAGAGAACGCATCACAACTCATTCGTCAACAACATGACACATCTGAAGCTATGACAGTTCACTTTCGTCAAGATGGGCTACAACTGCGTGAAGCATGTACACAGTATGTCCAAGACAGGGAGAATGCGAGCAAGGAAGAAATGGAACAATTGAAACTGAAACTATCAGAGCAATCACATATGATGGCTGACAACAATGAGATGATCATGGAATATGGCCAACAAGCTGTTGCAGTACGTGATGAACAATTGGTAGAGATGCAATCAACCATCGACGAACTGACTACCAGTTTGTCACACAAGGATAACCTCATTGCTATCAGGGATGATGCGAACCGTGATCACATTGTGAAGGTTCGTGACATGAAGAACATGATTCAGGAGAGAGAGGAAGAATACAACCGGAAGCACAACGAGCTCGAGGTGGAGATCAGAAGCCTCATGAAAATCAATGAGAACGAGAGTGCTACCCGGGAATGGTATACAAATCGATTCATTGATGAGAAGAACGAGTTCCGCCAGTTCAAGCATGATGAACTCAGTGCATTCAAGGACAGGGAGATCACCATTGAGCGCGTCAAGGACGAACTCATGGATGAGAACATGGCTTTGATTGAGTCCACCAACCAGTTGAGAACACGAGTTGCTGAACTTCTTGGATCTCGATTTCATGCTGGTGGCGATGAAGACAATGCCAAGGTAAATGAAGAACTACGTGAAGAACTTCGCAAAGCCAACATGGAGATCAGTCGACTTCAAGAAGCAGTTGAAAGCAACCCGAAGCTCACTGAGGCACTCATCGACGCCGAAGAGGCAGAGGCAGATAGGTACAAGAAGCTCTATCAGTCGGCATGCTCTGAACGTGACCATGTGATTAGAAAGAACGATTCATTGAAACAATCACTCCACGATGCAAGACTGACAATGAGTACGGTGCCAGCATCACGGAGCAGAGTATCGACCAGAGCTACAATACCAGCTTCACCATCAGTGGTGCCTCCTACGACCCTGGTTCCGAGGACGACTGCACTTACTGGCAAAACTCCATCATTTGCAGTATCGATTTCAACACCTATGGGTACGCCTAAGGCATCCTCTACGACAAAGAATCATGATCCTGCTCTACCACCACCACCATCACCTAGCATGAACAATGCCATCAACAACCAGACCAACAGTGAGATCGATGATCTTCGTGAGAAGCTCCGTCGGTCTGAAGAACGAGCTCAACAGAACTACGACGAGATGAAAGAGTACCAGAGTTGGCTGGAACAAGCTGAAGAAGGGCAAGAATCTCTGAAGGACAGCAAAGCCCCTGAATTCGAGCCCGTTCCTGACAATCCTCCTGGACTTTGGGAACGGAAAGATGGCAAGGATGCTAGTGTTGCAAACAGTGATGCTGGTCAAGATGGCAAAGATTGGGTAACTAGGATTTCCAGGAAGGAGCACGAGAAGGTCACAGTTAAGCCATGGCCAAAATGCCAAGATCTTGATGTTTGGCGTTCCAACGTCGTGCAAGCCGTATGTGTTGCATCAGGTGATCCAGACACGGCTGCATGGAGAAGATGGCTATCTCCTGCTCTATTACCCAGTCCTGACTATGCTGAACTTGCCGATTCAGGAGAATTCCGTTTCCAGTCCATTGACTCCAAGTTGTCCATTGCCTTGCAGAACATGGTAGACTCCGCTGGCGAGACGGCATCGGAGGTCAAGGTTCGGATCAGACAGAGGAGTCAAGTTCTGGGAAAAGAAGGGAATTTCCTGATGGGCAGGGAGATATTGGCAATGGTGTTAGATCACTTCAGAACAACATCTAAAGATCAAGTATTGTTCAATGCCAGCCACATCTACAAGTTACAGTATCGTGGTGACAAGGAGATGGATAAGTTCCTCCATGCTTGGATTGAGATCATCGCCAACATGAAGGCTGAGGACATTCCATCTGACAATACACTGCGTGACCATCTGCTGAGGAAGATCGACGGTTCCCAGGCATTGCGCGTCGACCTCACGATCTTCAAGGGTAGAATAGAGACAATGATGACAAGAAGAAATCCTATGGTGAACTCTTGGAGATAATGAGGAGGCACATAGCCCGTGCACGCGAAGATCGCAATATCGCGGCCAGGGACAAGTTTGCCACGGACTACACCAATCTTGGTAAGCCTTCTACCCCAGCTCCAAAGCCGACGGCTCCGGCACCTACGCCAAAGGATGGGAAGGGTGGAAAACCGAGTGCTCCAGCACCCAAGGGCAAGCCTGGAGCTCCTGTTCTACCTTCCGGCAATCCCAAGAGCCATGGCAAGGGGAAAGGCAAGGGTGGCAAACGATCGAGATCACCTTCCACACGAGACACTTCAAAGACCTTTTGTCACTTCCACTTCAACAAGGGCAATTGCAAGCATGGTGACAAATATCAATACAGTCACTCCCAATACCATTGGGACAAGAGGAAGGACAAAGGTGGTAAGGGCCAGAACAGCAGATCGGCTACTCCAAGGAGATCGCAGACCCCTGGTGGAAAGAAGGATCGACATTGCTATGGTTGGTTAAAGGGCGATTGTCAGAAAGGTGACAAATGCACCTTCAAGCATGACCCAAGCATGAAAGGCAAGAGAGCGGCGCCTTCTACAAAGACGCCAGACGCCAAAGCTACTCCGGCATTAGTCCGTGAGTACGATGACGATTTCATCGTGAACGCAGTGCCTATCGAGAAGAAGAACAAGATGGATGTCAAGTTCAATGACAAGGTGGAAACCATCGTGTATGTGAAGCCTGACTTTGTGGAATGTTCCAACAGGAAGCCAAAGAGAAACATGTCCAGAGCTCAGAAGAAGTCATTGACGTGCAGAACTACCAAAGAAATCATGGATGACCCACAATGGGTACTACAATCCAAGTTGGGAATGACAAGAGCACGTGCAATTGGCATACTGATGGACGACTATGGTGAGTTTTCTGATGTTGACGAAGTACACATCATCCTGGGACCCAAGAATGATATCAAGCTCAAGATCAACAACATTGATTTCCTGGAGAACAACTCACGAGCTGAGATATGCTACGAGGAAGTGATTCCTCATGTTCCAGGACAATATGGACGTCGAGACAACGTCATGTGCATCACTATGCCGATCGAGCTCAAGGACCGACGTTTCATCATGGACTCTGGCAGTGGTCATGATCTTATCTCATCTACGAGAGTGGATAGGATGGACATTGACACCTACCAGAGTGATCGAGTTAACTTCCACACTGCAAATGGCATCACATCAACAACTACGATGGTGGATTTGGACTTCGACACGTTCAATGATCCTGCAAGGGCTCATGTGTTGGAAGATACCCCATCTGTTTTGTCATTGGGAAAACGATGCATGGAGCAAGGATACACCTTTGTATGGCCTAGCGGAAGAGAACCCTACATGATCAACTCCGAGGGTGACAAGATCAAGATGGAAGTTCATGATCTTATCCCATATGTCTACCTTGGAGCTAAGGATTACAGGCCATCGTCAGACTACGAGGCCGGGTTAGTGATGGAAGTGCTGGGTCTCGGTGGCAACAACCATGCATCAAGGACAATCTATCTTGATGGTGAAAGTGGTGATGAAATGTCCGAATCAGATGATGGAGTCGGTACGTACGTCGACGGACCAACAAAGTCTCTGAGGAAGACGAGAAAGAAGAAG